CCAGTTACTATAAGTTACTATAAGTAACTGGCTCGCGCTGCCAGTAATTACGCGGCGGGATATTCAGTGCACAGACCGTGATCATAAGACATACCGAAAATAGAAAATAGAAAATAGACATTGCATGTGAACGAAGCCTAAGTCAGAAATCGAACATGTTGTTTTGAAAGTGTTCTTTTCTACATAAATGTTTATAATAACAATTCTCCCTCATGGCAATTAAAGGTATTTAAACTTTTTATTCTAAGTTTGATTTTGATTTTTTAGGAAGATGACATTGACTTTATCATTTACTTTTATTCTTTGTGTGTGTGTGTGTGTGTGTGTGTGTGTGTGTGTGTGTACTGATTTACCCCACCAATTGAGACATTCTGAAAAAAATTACTTTTACAGCAAGTTGATTTTCAAAATCACAGCAATGATGTGTATGTTTTCCAGATGTCAATGTAGTGTATGAGCATGGTTTACCTGTGATATCAGTTCCAATGCCATCCAGACAAGAGTTGTGCCGCTTCCCTCTGAAGCCAGTGAGCAGTACAGTAGGAGACTTCATTGATGCTGTACAGGAGGAGGATGGGGGGATTGACAGGGCAGCACTGTATACCTCAGGTAATTTTGAATTAAAGAATTAAATTTTTTTCCATTTGAAGTAGTCTTCATGGCAATTTAAGAAGGACAAAGCAAAGCTGGAAATCATGGCACACTCTTGGAAGTATGAAATTAAAACTGTAGATGTTGCACTAACACTCATCAAAAAATATTATTTTGAAATAAAATCTGTCTAGGAATAAACATATGAAATGATCTTGCTTTTTAATGGAGACTGCCACATGTCATGTAAAAGTCAGTTTAGCCTCATGTAAAACATGTTTTGTAGATAGGAGTTGCACAAACTAAAATATAAAAAACAAATTGGAATGTTTTATGAAAATATGGCGATATGGATTCAGAAACTCTGGAAGTTATGGGTTTCTAAATGAAATGATTGCCCATAGATTGATTTCAGCATTTATCATAAATTCACTTAAGCAGATCCAGAGGGAGTTTTGATTTTCGTTTTGTGAAAGCTTTCTGGCACCAGTCTACTTGGCTATTATTCAGGTCGTATTTCCCTGCTTTAACTTGCTCAAAGCTGTCAACTTGCGCTGTATCTCTCAGGTTTATAGCCCAAGATTTAGCCATGTTTTATTTCATGTCAAATCCCTCATTCAGAAGCTATCAATTTATGGTATACACTATCGATTGGGTTACTCATGAGATCAGTTCCAGGAGCGAATTTACATTTGCCTAAATTAACAGCACAAAATCATGCTGGTTTTGAGTTTATTCTTTTTGCTTGCTTGATGTTCCTTTCATAATGAGATGGAAATTTCATTGTATAGTTTCTTCAATGGAAACAGTATTTAGCTACTGTAGGAATAACTAGCTATAGTTATATGCTAGATAAAAAGGTTTTCTTGCATTGTCATAAGTGTCAGGTTAACACATAGCCGAAAATGTAGTCAGAAATAGTACTTTTGAAAGGGTTTCTTTATGTGAGAAAGAAAAATTCAATTTATGTTATTTTTGTACATGTGCAATGAAAGTAATTTTATATATGTGTCAGTCAACCTCAACCATTTCCTGAAAATAATGAGTATATTTACGGCAGCCTCCAAATAATCAATAAAAGGCTATTTAACTGTTTTAGCATATTTCGCCCTCTTCAAAAGTTGTCTTCTATCTTTTTACAAATAAGCAATATCCATCACATGATCTATTAGTTCTGGACTGTTTGCTTGTTTATACATCACATCAAGAGCAAGAAAATAGGCATTGGCACTTCACCAAAACAGTCCTAATTGTAATTTTAATTTTTAACCAATATCAATGAAAATTCATTTAAACAAGCAAGGATATAGGTAATCAAAATTGTTTACAAGGGAGAGAAGATGGTATGGAAAGGAAATTACTGTAAAATAGTTAAAACATGGGTAAAGTTAACTATATATTTCCTTCCAATCAATATGTCACAATTCTGTTATTTGTCATCATTCAGTACTACATATGCTTTTCATTGATGTATTTATTGGCAGCTGATAAATGGTTCCCCAGAGGACATTACCCTGATGAGACATTTTCCCTGTCATTTCAGATGGAACAAGGATAGCCAGGGCAACCACTATTGATGTCTTGATGAGGTCACCCTTTAAGTTAATGATAAATGATTTGACCTATGAAGTAGAACCACCAGAATTAAGTAAGTGCTACTTCAATAATTAAAAATACCACATTCCATTTTTCTCTGATAGTATTTTAAGAAAACTTGCATAGTGAAAAATATTTTTTTAATAGAATAGACATTACTTAACACTTGTTTTTATTATACAAATAACTGACTTTGTTTGACCAAAACTTAAGACAGAAAAATAGTTATATCTTTTGTTTGCAGTACTTGAAAGAGATCAGTAATATAAAATCTTTTTTATATAACAGGTGATATTCCAAGTGAAGATCTTACTAAACTAGCCGATGCCAAACACCTTATAGCACAACTTTACTCTACTCTGAACATACAAGACTACCAAGTACAAAAAGAAAAAGAACTACTGCAGAAATTGGAAGATTTGAAAACAGAGATACAGCCTCTAGAAAATGTAAAGTTTGGTTTTGCCTTTATTTTAAATATCAGTAGAAATGTGTTTCAAGCATACTGGCATCACTAACTTTGAAATGTAGCCTGATAAAGTGGGTTGAATAATATTTCTCTCTAAAAGTGCACTAGGGCTCTGTGGATGTAGAAATTGCCAGAATTTCCTTTCCTAACAATTTGTATCATGCAATCTAAACATTTACATTTTTTTATCCACCACATCTTTTTCTATCAATACAGTACACCAAATTGTTTTAATTCATGCAATTTCAGATGAAGCTTGAAATAATGGCCAGAGCTGAGAGTCAGACTAACCGAATGAGTTGGGGTTTACTGATGTATATGGGGCTTCAGTTTGGGTTTCTGGCCAGGCTGACTTGGTGGGAGTATTCCTGGGACATCATTGAACCTGTCACATATTTTGTCACCTATGGCACAGCTATAGTCTTCTATGCATATTATGTTGCTACAAAACAGGTAAGGGTGTGATTTATCTTCTAGATAAAGCCTGTGGAATTTATTACAGGTGTGTCTAATTTTAGTTTCCACATTTCTGCTTAGCAGTTTATGTTTTCACCTCCATTTGTCTGCTATTCCATTTTTCACAAGCTTAACTCAGTATGTTTTGGCTGTGTTTTAAAGAAATTATCAGGATATGTCACAGATGGACTAACTTGAGAGTGATGGATTTTGGTGATGATGTATTAATAAATAAATTATGTAACTGCCCATTTGAATTGGCTTAAAAATTTTAAATCACAACAACCAACCTAGCACAAGTATCAGAAATACAGCATATCTGTCTATTTCTTCAGGAATATAATGTAGGAGAAATGTACAATAGGCAGAGGTTGCTTTCATTTCACAAGGATGCAGGGAAGAAACAGTTTGATGTGGAAAAGTATAACAAACTACGTAAAGCCATTTTACAGGCAGAATTGGACATTGAAAGGTTACGAGATCCTCTCCAGTTACAGTTACCTATTCCAACATTGGAAGCTAAAAGGGAAGAGTGAAGCTTGATGTCCTCAGCCTTACCTCTAGTTCTAGGTCAGCTTCTGTTTTTAGATGCAGGGTTGAACCATAAAGCACCACGTTTTTTATTCTAAAGGTTTGTATAAAATTTTGCAAATGAAAACATTGGCACTTATAAATGAAACTGGCTGTATATGTTACACAGAATAAAAGGATAATTTGTACCTGTTAAATGTTTCATCTGTTTTGGAAAGAATTGTCATTTTTATTGAGGTATTTTCACTTTCTTGTATATAAATTCAGACAATATTAGATTTAACCCATATTCAGCTGAATGAGGGATGGAATAAAGGGAATACAAAATTTTGAAGTTATTATCCACAAATTATTTAATGCCAACTCCTTTCATAAACATTGAGCAAAGGACATATTATCAGCTTTGAATGTGAAATTGCACAAATTTACCTTTAATACTAAAGGGCAAGTTTGTTCAATACTATTCATCAGTGTAATATCAGTGTTGGAACAAAGGCGTTATCATTAGAAATATGGTTTAGTAACCCCATGATAGATATTTCCCCATACCCTCTATTTAATTTCAAATAAAGAATATTCTTAAAAATGCTTATGACTTAAGTGTGACGGCTTAGAGCTTTTAGCTAGATATAAATCTAAGAAGTTGTTCAAGATATGATACACTGTGATGAGAAATATTGACATTTACTTATCATAACGCGTAGCTTACATATTTGTATAGTAAGTCAGTGTATCTATTTTCCTAATGACTGAATTCATGCTGATTGTAATTGGTTTTCTCATTAATTGTATTACTATACTCAAGGCAGTTTTTGTAATCGGTTTAATTTGAACAATAACTCATTGCAGTTAATGTTTTGGTTGATACATGTTCCTATTACTGTGACAATTACAACAGTATGTTATTCTGTTTTAGGTTAGTTCAGAAACACATTTCTAATCTGTACATTGAGGATGAAGCAGTGCTTAAAATGTGATTAATATATATCTTGGCAGTGCCTTGAATGGGGTATAGGCTTCTGGCACTATGACATCTCTATATTTGATATATTTTTTCTGGGTGAACTGCTTGAGGAATAAAGTTGTATTTGGGTAGTAAGTGATACTTCACAGTAGTTGTGTTTTGCTACAGTTGTGATGAGTAAATTTGTTGCAATTTTTTCTCATATTTCTTTCTCCTAAATTTTAACTATAGCCCTTAAAATGCTCTTGCTGTAACTGTAAGTGGACATATGTCATATATCACTAGAATTTTGTGGTATAAAGCCATTTTCACACACAAATTCTCCAGTTACAAGTGCAATGCATACATGTTTTTGTAATTTACTTCAGACCTTTTTAGATGTGTTACATTAGTGTAAATTAAACATTTCCTATGCCAACATACTCCTTTTCCCCCTAGTGTTAAAGAGTTATGTTGCAGACATATTTCCAAGTTATTATCTTTATCAAGTGTGGAACTTTTTTTTGAAATGTAGACATCAGCTGCTTTAAGCCTACCTCAAAATGCTTTACTTGTGACGCAATATTATTTGAAATTGTTCACCCATTTTGTTATTTTAGATAGAAGATAGAGATTTAAACAATGAAATTAGTTTATATTTGCTTTAATGAATTTCTTTGAACGAGAAAATGTTTGAAAGTGATGTCTGCTGAACTCTTGTAATGAGGTTCAAGGTTCAGTAGTTACATATCTTGGAAGGGGAGGGGGGGGGGGGGTAGTTTCTTCTGTGTGTCAAAATTGTAAATATAGTTGCCAGTACACCACCTTTCCCTCTTCTCAGGTAAGTGGTGACATAAAACTAGTTTCTTATGCATGAATCTTCCAGTCTTTTCAATTACATTACAGATCTGAAGAATATTTTTAAAAAATAAGTTGTTTAAGCCCAAGTTGAAACACGTACAACAGAATACTGGATTTACTTGTAACTAAATAAGTTGTGTAATTACAGGTTGTTAGGAGTTATTTTGTTTAGAATTATCTAAGGAGTTAAAGCCATAAACTCAGTTTCAAACCATTTCTTAATATTTCTAAAAAGTTGGAATTCTAAAAACTCTGAAATTAAACAATGATTTTGAAGAATTGAACAAAAAAGTACATCACAGAAACTTGTGCCGAGTCTCACTTTGAGATATATATACTGTGAAATAAGTGCCAGTAAAGACGTTGGTGCCTCCAAACTAAGACCATGAACTCCACATACGCCAGTGTTTTACAAAAGTATTTTAGTGCACTAAAATTTAAGTGTTCTAAGAATAATTGGAATTTATTACCTCTAATGATGTTGGTTTTTATAATAACAGCATATTTGGTTCTTGTACACGTTAGGGAATTACACTTGTAAATTATTTACACTCCAGTTTTCATATGTATTTCTTGAATGCATTGTTGTAATTTTTACATATAATGTTAGAATTATTGTTTGTACTTTATAAAGAATTGATTAATAAAACAGTAATCCTTTTTCCATAACTTACACTTGCAATTTGATTACCAACCCAAATTGGCTTTATGCTGTCACGTGACATACAAAAAATATCAAAATTGACAAAACATTTTGAATAAGATTTGTACATTTGCTATTTTGTTGGATAAATAACACTTTACCATAGTCTCCCATAATCTTCAGATTTCTACTGTAATTTTGGTACTTTCATTTTCAGACTTGATTACAATTAACTTCATGAAGAAAACTGAAGCATACCATAAAATATTGAAAAATAAAATACTGATTAAACTTGCACATTTTCCAGATTGTCTATTCAAAAATTTATAGATAAACCTGTAAAAACTTAAAACCGATACTAGTATCATTGCATTGTTTACATCCCACATAGTCCCATGTAAGAAAAAAGAATGTGAAAAAAAAACTCCAAACCACAGTAGAGGTTCTTACTATGTTTGTCAAAACTGTAAAAAAAAAAAAGGACATCACTATTCTAAGTTATTATTGTACTGATATACAGTTCAATTTATTTAAAAAAGCCTTATAGGGATTTGGATTTTTGATCAATGAATTTTGTATTTGAATAAATACATGGACTAAGATTACCCTAGATATCTGCAAATGAGATAGGCATGGTGATAGTAGAGCAGTGTTTTCAGTGTTCTCTGCAAACTAATACTGGGTTAAATCCCTAAATGTTTATAAGCTTAACTTTGACAGCATTGAAGTACAATGTGAATAAACTGACAGAAAACCTCAAACCACTTTGACTTTCTAAAACTAAATAGCATTGTAGGTTACACATATATTTGTAGCACCAAATCATCTGATCTCAAAAGTACTATTATAGTGCATTTATACTATACATGTGAAATAAGGCACTGTGATTTAACAATTCACCAGTATATAATTGTAAAATGTTCTTCAGCTTCAAAAAATTTCGATGCACCATATATTAGTACATGTAGACCTCTTAGAACAATTCTTTCTTTAAAAAACAATATAATATATAGTATCACATATATTAAAGGGATAATAACTCTTCATATGAGATCTATATTTCACAGTAAAAACATTGTGAATAACTCATAGAAATATAATATATTCTGTTTTACCACAAAAATGGCAGTTATAGCTATTTTTTCTGATATCTGAACTTCTCTCCAGACCACGTGACCTCCATTGATGGCTATACTCTGTTAAAATCTCTTAAGAGATTTTAACCAAAAAACAAACTTTTTAGAAAAAAAACAGGCACTAACTTTGAACGTAAAAATGGATTCATTAACCATTGGTTAGTATAGGAAAATTGTTGTTTACTCCAGGAAAATTCATTTTTTGGCCAAAATGAAGAGTTATTATCACTTTAATATTGTGCCATTTATTTCAAGTCCGACAAAAACAGTGAGCATTAAGGGCCAGACTCAACAGAGATCCAAACCTTACAAACAATAAGAAACTTTAATCAGGGCTCTGACATAAAATACCGTGAGGTAAGAAATCGGCCTATTTCCAACCTCAGCCCTTTAGTGTTGTCTCATTAAGTATACATTACTAACTGACAGCAATCAAGACAGTTAATTGTTCTGATCTTAATTGAGAAAAATACAAACAAACATTTTACACTGGACTAAATAAAAAATTCAACATATATACGTACACATAAGAATAGGTCACCAATAGCTGGTAAATACAGATGTTGATCTCCCAACCACAAGGAATTATAGGTTTTATAGTCTGATTGTTATCATGGCAAAAACATAAAAATTAATAGATGGAAAACACAGGACGATTCAATACTTTACTGACCTCCTTTGGATTTAAACTTTAAGGTAAAATGGAAGGAATAGTTGCAAATACAATCAAAATTATCAAAAGAAGATATTTCTCCTACAAAACATAACATAAGTCCCATCCCTTACCAAATGGAGGAAAGATTGATCTTGGGCCCATAGATTTACTACAAAATATTTCAAAGTGCACTATACTTTTAAAAATGTCCTATATTCACTCATGAGTATTTTTAAAATTTTCTTTGTAAAATGTTTTTTACCACAGTACATGTAGCACATAAGAGACTATTTCAAATGCAGTTTCTGTTTATATTTTTTCTTAGCGAATGCCTCTCTTAAGAACTTCGGCCAAGAAAATGGCCATTCATAATCATTTGGAATGACACCATCAACCTTTGACTCAAAGAAAAAGAAAAGTGGGAACCAAGCCTTGGCCCTCTTTCTGTCATGACGCATTACGTTGGCATTGTTGGCAAGAGTATGGTAATAAAGGAACAGCCTTGAAGCAATATAAAAGGCAAAGAACACATCAATAGAGTAGTGTTCATGAGCAGCTAAAATAAAGAAAAGTCCAAACAGATTGAGTACCCAAGTGAATGTGTGAAGATACACAAAGTTCCTTGGAGTATCTGAAAAAGAGCAAAGAAAGGCCTTCAGTGTCACATATTCCTGCAATTCACACATTTATGACGAAAAAATTATAATAACAATAAGAATAGCATTGAATACCCTATATAGATTACCATTTATATTGTGTTATTACCCTTCTCAACATACGATGACCAAGATAACAGCAAATATATGTATATCACCATTAAGATGACTTCAATTCTTAAGCATACAAATTATTTTATACCACTTACATTCAGTAATGAAGAAATTAAACAGCGTCAGCCACACAGTGTGTCCACTAAACATATAATCTCCACAGGTGCGAACTCCTTGCAGTGACATGCCCATGCCTCTCCAAATCTCAAATGCCCTTTCAAATCTAGCAGACCATGTGCGGTAGGGCTGATGAAATTAAAAGCAAATCATAAAACAAGATAAATACAATATTTCCAATATAGTGTGGGTAAGTTATTTATATTCAAAATTTGTTTCAATTTAAACTTGTCAACTTTCATTTTTTTTTTTTTTTTTTTTTTTT